TCTCAGTTCCCCTACCGCGTACGGGAAAAGACACTATGTCTTTGAGGTAGTCATTGACTACCATGCGCTGTTTGTTGGCACAGGTCGACTCCACAGGTCGACTCAGGCGCTGCACTTGCCCCTGTAAGTGAAGCCTCTCAACGCACGTGCGACTGACAAAATTCCACGTTGAGCAAGTGTCATAATAGGCCCCATCCTTGCGGCCGTCGATGACTACCTCGCCGACGAACATCTCACTCCTAGGGGCTTTAGCCAATGCCGTTTAAGAAGCTATCGGGTCTGATTTGGACCACTCCTCCTCTAGCTCCTCTAAGGACTCGAACACATTCATCGAACATAGGCTCAATGGGTCTGAATGTGTTTGCGGGACGACAGCAGAGTCAATAGCTTGGGCCATCTCTTGAGATGGTGAGGGTGTGTCCACCACCTCGACCCTGACAAGAACTACTATTCCTACTGGTCCGACGCGTTTCCGGGAGTAGTGCCAGAACTGCTGGCCACATTGCTACCAATGGGAGTGGAGGATCCCAACGCCTGCCCCATCATAGGCGGGATCTTCTTGGTCACCTGCTTGTTGCGGCATTTGAATTGGTTGTGGCCATATTGACCACAACGAATACAGGTCTGCCTGGTGTACCGGTCTCTCCACACGTCCTCAGTGAGACCCGCTTTTTCCCATGGAGGAGCACTAGGGTCAACTTGACTCCTAGACTGGGAACCTCCACGACGTCTACCGGTCGCCTTACCTTTCTGTACTGAGGCAGCGACTACTCCACCCCCTGAAGACTCTATGCTGCCTGCCTCTGAACCCACTCCCGCCTGGAAGTCATCTTCCAACTCGATGGTAGAACCATCGTTGTCGACGAACATAATGCGACCTTTCTCCTTCCAGTTGGGAGGCAGTGACTTTTTCGTTGTGGGTGTTTGTCCATGCCCTATCTTTGCCTCCAGGTCAAGGGCCTTCTTGCTGAACGAGGGGAAGTTGTGCATGTTGATGTTGGCCTCATCTGCCAACTGATTCCTGAGAGGCATAGGAAAACATCTTAGGTAGGAGGTGGTAAGACCTGGGGGTTATAGCGCACCCCAAGGACACAAATCAAACGCTCTATTGCGTCTGTGGCCTCTCATACTGACTTGAACTGTCTATGGTTCAGAGTCAGGATCGCGTCAGTGGCTTTTTGGGCCTCCTGAGGATCACGCCACCTGTCTTCCACCAGCTTGAGGAAATCATCCACTTTCAGGTTGACTGCCCAAGCGCAGAAGTCATGACCGTATCCCTGTAACTACACTAAACCACTCAACCATCTTGCTGCACTCCCCTCTAAATAGGAGGCAGCCACAGCACTTCCTCGTGCGGCAAGCAGTTTACACTTGACATAGACCGGCATTGACCTCAACCATGTGTTGAGGTCTTCGCCTCTCTTGTCCCCTGAAAAAGGTTTGGGAGAAGCGATGACCGTCCTTGGAACCCATGTGGTTTGTCTCGGTACCTGTCCCACTCCAAGCTGTGGACCTTGGGGACCAGGCTGTGGACCTTGCGGACCAGGCTGCTGCACTAGCTGCTCCTGGGGCTGTGTACCCTGCGGCTGTGCAGGTTGCGAGACAGCAGACTGCCCTGTTACGGCAACCTGCGACGGAGGTTGGGAGTACACCGTCTGCACATGAATCTGTACACTAGGACCTGCTGAGAACCCTCTTGTTAATGACATACCTAGGAAAGTGGCTTGGACCGATGCTGGAGTGACATATGGGGATACCCCAGTCACCGGTGGGACAAAAGGAGCAGGATGTACAACGGGCCAGGCACCAGGCCCGGACGACGATGGAGCTGCCTAAGCCCGGATGACCAATACGGCCAGGCTCTGCTGGATGTCCTGTAAGAGAGCCGTTTGGTGGTCTTGCATTTCTACTACATCTAGCAAGATGGTCCGTAGGGTCCTCACATCATCATCCATGTGTGTCAGATCCATCTCCTCTAACTCACTAACGTCCGCTTGTCTCCGCTGCATCCTGGCTCTTCTTCTAATCATCTTCTCTTTTTCTGCCTTAACCTCTCCTAACGCTTGTTGTAGCTCTGCCTCGCGAATAGCTGCTCACTGTATGGCGACCTCCTCGGGAGTCAACACTATTGGCTGGCTTGCCATGATGCCACTGGACTGACTCAGGGTCTGTGCGACCATTGACCCTACAAAACTTGACCCACTGGCCTGAGAGCTCTGCTGCGCAGCAGATGCCATGGATGCTGAAGTAGTGGCCTCGCTCACGAATGCCCTGCTTGCCTCTGCGGCCCTAGCCCTCCGCTGCTGCTGCTGTCTCTCCCTCTGCTGGCGGAATAGGTATCTGTCGCCCTCTGGTCCTAATGCTAAGTGGGCTATCGGGCGTCTTGCCAATCACAAGATCCTATCTTCCGGTTGTGGGACCTCCCTGTCACTCATAGGCTACAACACTGTGCATTGCCTGCACTAGGACACTCTCGATGCCTACAGACCCATTTTAAATAAATAAAATAAATAATTGGTGGCTATGTCAGAGATTACTCATTTGGGCTCAACAGGTAAGTTCAGATTCCTACAAACGAAACTAYTTTGACTTTGACTACTTCGCAAACAGAAAGCACAATGGACAAGAAACAATTCTAACTATGTTGTCTGTCAGATGTTAATGGTTGTACATCTAACTAATCAAAATAAAAACAGAATCATTTGACTGGCTGTTTGCAGAGTGGAATCCTTCCCAAACTTATCACCTGGAATCTACCCCTCCCTCAGTTCCTCCTGAATGTCTCTTGTCGTCAACGTCCCTGAGCAATCCGGATCAGCGTGCGTGTCTAAAGGCGTGCACACGGCCCACCCCTGTGCCCCGAGTCCTGCTGAGCTGGCCAGCCCTGCACCATATTTATCCTCGCGTGCAGCGAGCCTTACACCGACCGATTGGCTGATCAGGAAGCGTTTTTATGGACGGCCCCCGAAGTCCTCAGGAATTCTTTAATGTCGCAAACAGGACGACGATCACAGCCAATGGAAGGTACCCGCTGGTGTTTATTTATAGACGTCCGGTACTCGTCTTTCCCGTAGGGCTGGCCTGCCCCTCAGAACCCATCTATAGCACAGCGAGCAGACAAAGGACAAAGCAGCAAAGCATGCGTGCTCTACTCCCGGTGGGTTGGCATGGTGACCGTGACCCAGTGCTTCGTCCAGGGCCCTTCAGATAGCACCGCCCTCTCCTTCCAGATGCTCCATGTGAACATTGACGACTCTCAAGGTTGAGCGCACTCGACTCCTCACATGAGAGGACTCTCAAGACAAAACACACACCCTCACGGTAAGAAGTGTCGAAGAGGGTAGGTAAGGTTAGGTGCAACGTACCTCAAAATAGCTGCCCCCAACCACAAATATTCTCACCAGATGACCCGATGTCGATTGTGATGACCAATCGCTGCTTCGGCACAACCAGCATTACACCGCCGTTCCACCTCAGCATCAATCGCACATCAGATAGTTCTCATCACACTGCGAACACCCAATATACACCACGTAGCCTTCCTGGCGATCCCCTCTCCACCTGGGTCGCCTGCTTGCCTTCGCCCTCCTCACTACACACTCCCTACGACCGCTCGCTTAGCAGACTACATGCATGTACCGCATAGGCAGAAGACAAGTGCCAGATGAGCGCACAATGCCACAGCTCCGATACCAAATTGCAAGGCAAATGAGCGATAGTGAACTTCAAAAATCAAACAGCATCATACACATGAGACCAGATAGTCATGACCTCGAACCAATAATAGAATTGCATCACGAGTTCAACCAAATAAGAGCACAGCAAAAGCTCATAATTGACAATGCTGGAATAGTCTCATCATCATCAACGAAGAACCAATGTAGATATCCTATCTGGCGCTCGGCGCCCAGACTACAAATGGCAGATCCTGTCTAGCCTATCTACAATGCCGCTGATGACGTCAACAGCTCCCCGAAGTACGAGCAGATCTCGACCAATGCCGTTCGCTTCAAGCACCAGGTATGTCTCTCGTATCACTCACAACCTCGTTCCCCAACTCACAGATGCCACATGCACCCAAGAACCACCATGCGACCCATCCAGCATACAGCAGTGCAGCTCGGCTATGGCTGCCTGCTCCTTCCAGCTCGCCCGTGAGCGCGTGAGCGCTGGCCAGCGTTAGCGCAGCAGGGCTTGCGCAGCATGCAGCCAGTGCCCGAATGCCCAATGCGGTGGCAGGTCCTTTCCGAAGTGGAAGTGGTCTGCCTGCTGCTGCGGCCAGGCTGCGCTGGGCCCTGGCCCGGAAGCTTCCGGTAGGCCCGAGTGGCTGAGCCCCAGTCCATACAGAACAGGCCCAGGGCCTAAGTTAGTTGCCCGCACCCAACTGCCCTCAGCCTGTGTTCGGTCCGTATGCACGTCTGGCCCAGGGCATACTTCAGATACATTTGCAATATGGATTCCTGGGCCTGGGCGCTTGTAACCAACTGACGCCGCACAACTGTCTGGATTTCCCCAGTTGCGTGGTGGCCTGACAAAGGGGTTTCCTTCGGCCTTAGTCGAGCCTGCCTTCACTTAGGGCGGCCGACAACATTGCAAACAGGGCCAAAGGGGCTCATCGGGGCCTTAGGCCTAGCAACTGTATGGTCTGTACAGACTGTACTGGACATACAGCTTTAGGGTAGACTTCGACTTACCTACAAACCGGACTGGAACTTATGGCACATGGAACTCGGAACCTGGGGACCGGAACGGGACAGGACGCTGATATTCATGAGATCCTTTCAAGAAAAATAATAATAACACAATTGTATAAGAAGAATAAGAACATCCAAAAGAAGAACTGTTTTAAATGTACAGATGAGGGAAGCAATCCTTCACCCAGTGTTGACAGAAGTTACTAAAAGTTGAATAAACACTCAACTGGGTTGACACTCCCTACAACAGGGCGAACCAGTCACCTTTTGGGGAAGAGCAGCAGAAGGAAAGAACACTGTGCTTACTTTGATTATGACACCATCAGGGATTGCAAAATCCAGCATAGCTTGCTTGACATCAGCTGGGCGAGCGTCTTTGTTCTGAGAAAGGTAAATGGCTGCCAATCCTGCCTGGAGGCCCAACAAGCAGCCAACAACCAGAAAGTTACGTGTGCAACCGAATATGTAAGCAAATGTTTTGCTGATTTTGATGACTGGCTGAGTTCGTTTCACTTTCCAAGCTCCAAAGTCCATATCACTCGCTCCAGGACTCAATCCGCAACCTGCCGCAGAAATTCAAACCAGCAGTATCCCACCCAGCTATTTGATGTCGACCTCCAATGCGCTCAGAGGCTGCCGACACGGTCAGCATAGCCACGGCTTTGGCTTGGCTTTGAAACGGGTGACGGGGGGTCTCCAATTGATCAGTAATGGTACCTGAGGGGCAGGGGAGGGGGGGCTGAGGGGTGCAGCATACCAATCATAGCCAGTTTTCGTCTTTCTTCTGGTTCGTTTTGGAGAGAACAGATTTCATTATAACATTGTGCACACGAGGCCCAGACTCACAATTCTACCCGAACAATACTGGGGCGACAAACTGGCTTCGTCCCATGCTGGAAACTGCGTACAGTGTCCCATTTGATAGCCCACTAAGAAATCATAGAAAATTAGGGCATAAACCGCAAGGCCCAGGCAAACTTGCGAATCGAAAATGAGTCATTCCGAAAAGTTCAGCTAAACTGTTACAATGCTACTGGACCAAAATAGTTGGAAACGTGAGGCTGGCGCTTCTGCAAAGCTTGGCGGGCAGGGGGGAATCCACCTCAGCAAAGAGAGGATCAGCCTTTTTTCCTTTTTTCACATGGGTCCAATCTTTTCCTGGGAAGCTGCTAAGGAATCGAAGGTCCACGTCTCTTCAGCCCCTGGTCAAAGCCACCGGCTAGAAAGAAGACGGACTAACCCGGCTTTCGAGCTCCAACCCTGAATCCAGAAACTCAGAAAACTCCAGGTAGTGGTCATCTGGGGGGGTTTGAGGACAGAGGTGCAGAGTGAACTGCAGGACAACAGAAGCTGCTCTGCCTCCTCCCTCCCTCGTGCTTATTACTGTTATCCATATCATTCTAACCCAATCCTATGAGGTATTCATAGGCAAAGACAACCAAAGACACTCCAATGTCATCCAGTAGTGCATATCGTGGAAATCAGTGAGGGGGCACATCGGGATGGAGGCATCAATCTTCCTCCATTCCTTGAAACGTAGACTGTACTCCTTTCTGCATGTATCCGGGTCCTGCTGGTCAGTCGCCCACCAGAGATCCCAAACCACTGTGACTATTCATCCCCGTTCTTCCCCTCCTAGCCAGTCCATGCGGAACTCCCTAGTTTCCTTTAACAAGTCTGTTTTTTTGGGAAGGAAATGCGGTTTTCCTTGTACTCTAAACCATGTAGCTCCTAGTTCCAATTCAATCTGTTGCTGATTGTGTCTCAAAGCTCCCCATCAGCAGGTCTCCCCTTCCATTATGTGTGTGCCGCACTGCCACCAAAGTGCCCAGAGGATAACTTTTTCCTTGCAAGATATGAACATGTGAGAGATAAAAGCGCTTGCCTGAATGGGCCAATGACTGCAATTTATTGCACTCCACTCCCACGGCCAGTTTCAATCCGTTCCCAGGCATCTGCAAACTCTATCCCACTAGCGCCAGGTAAGAACCATCCCGGGGCATTGGAGGAAGACGCGCTCAATAGTTTCGCTCAGTTTGTGGTAAGGGTATCCCTCCAGGAAGCCTCGACACCAGGGGAGGGCCAGATCTTTCTGCTCCGAGTGGGTATGGTAAATAAGCCAGCTGTTTATTGGCAGACATTGCTGATCAATCTGCATTGTAATGAAGCAATTTTAGTCGCTTTGCTTTGATTCCTTTGCACTATTCAATGGGTTTGATCAGTTCCTTCCCCACATTGAGATGCCTAGACCACCTTCCGCTTGCCCTTTTAAGTCCACCTTGGGTGGGAGCGTTCTGTATGTTGCTTTGACATCCAATCTGTAAAGACCTGAACTTCAACTCGCGAGACCTGCCATGCATTGCCCACCACCCGTCCAGGTCAAGGGGAAGGTCTGCAATGATTGTTTCCTTTTGAGCACTCCCAAACTGATCGGGCTTCATCAAGGCAACATTTGGATAAGGTTTTATGCATGTCCGTATGGAAAAGTTGATCAGAACTTCTTTGGGCGTACCTCCAGAATGTTGCCCAGCCTTCCACCCTTCCCTCTCACCGTCACCCAGTTGCTCTCCAATGGGGTAGGTCCTTTCCTTAATGTGCCAACCCAGGCTAGGAGAAGGGAGAAGAGAATGCCCGCCAGACCCTCCCCTATCTTGTGACAGTATTGGGGGTCTGGTGGAGTTGGTGTTCCGACTTTCAATCCCCTGCTCACAGATCGCCAATTTTGAACACTCCTTTTTTGACCCGGCCCTTCCACAGGGCGTTCGAGCTGAAAAACTCCATTCGTGGCAGTCCGTCATCCAGCAGCACCCAAACAGAGGTTGTCTATACACGTCCTTCCATTGTGCAGGGGGGAGGCGGCCCGTGAGAGGCAGTCTTATTCTCGCCTTCAATAGTTTGACCCAAAAATAATCATTATTGAGGTCAGTCATAGCGGGTGCTCGGTCAGGTATCACCCCCTGGTTAGTGGATGCCTTCGGGATCGAGCAGTATCAGTCTTCCAACCAAACCATGGGGCTTACTGCAGGGGCAGGTTTGGGAGTCATCCGAAAAATCTGTTCCAGGGCTAGTGAATGACAGGCGTGGGGTAAATATGAATCATTTCAGCCATTGTAGAGGTAAATTCGCCGTCTATGTAGCCGTGTCAGTGATCCCTAGGCCTCCCTTTGGTTTCGGTTGGATCACTGCTCCCCAGGTGAACCTGCTAAGGACATAACCAATCTCATAATTATTCACCACAGGAAAGTTGTGACTTGGCCTTTGCATGACTTGACTATTCCCTAACTGTTTCAGGGCTGTATTACAGTATTTGTTCTTTTTTTTTCCGTTTTCACAATTTTCTTGTTTTCTTTTCTTTGTTTTTGCTTTTCATGATTTCAGACAGTTGTGCAATGAACCCAGATCGTGAAGACAGTCGTCAACAATGCAAGTCCAGAAGAATGTCAACCATCTGATGATTACCAATAGTCAAAATCGTGTCCAGACAGAATGAGACGAGATAATCGTACAAAGACAAATGAGAGAGGAGGGAGATTAGACAAAGGAGAGGAAATAAATACAAGGCCCACTCCTGCTTCGGGCTCCCTCCTCGATCACCACCTCAATAATCAATAGTCTGAACGAGCATCTGAAGTAACCGCAATGTGCCACGTGGCACGTCTAATCGGTCCCTCATCAATGCTGGAGCAATGTCGACATGAAGACAACCAGGTACGTATCCACGATCTCTCCACAGTCCCGATCTCCTCTCGAATGACGATAATCAGAACAGCAATACAAGTCACGAAGAACACGTGGCAGCAGCCACGTCAGCCAGATACACGCGGCAGCAGCCACATCCACGACAGCGCACGGCAGCTGCCACATCAGCATGCCAAGAAGACAGGTGCAAGCCAGCCACCATGCTGGACCAGCAGCGCCTCGCCGAATCACAATGCCAGTGTCGCAGCGTCGAGCAAACGTTGAAGTCAACGCGTGAGGTCAGCATCAACGCAAGACAGAATGAATGTCAAAGCCAGGAAGTCAACGCTTATGTAGCGTTGACGCCGGGTCTGGACCCCGGATGCTGCATCCCTCAACCGTCCAGATCTCAATGCAAACGAGGGCCCAGATTGTTCTGAAACTGAATTCCCTCCGGCCTGGATGCTGTCTGGGTACCTGCGCACAACAAGTGAGTGTATCCAACCAAGGGCCTGGGTGCAGTACCTTTGACTCTACAGTTGACTTTGACCCTTGAATTTCCTGTGTGCAGCGTTCGGTCACACAGCCATATGCGACAGACTCAGGCCTGGGCGTGTCTTGGTCACACAGCCCAACGCAGACCAACTCAGGTCTGCGTTGCCTGGGGCTGCGTTCTGGGCCCCAGGCTACTTCTGAACAGGGTTACTACAGTTGGCGTCATCTGCATTCTGGCGTCCATTTTCAAAATCCTTCTTTTAGGACTTTCGGATTTCGGACACTTGGCGCCATCCGACATTCTGGCGCCCACTCTCAGACTTTCGATTTTCAGTTCTGGCCCTGAGGCATTTTCACTTTTGCTGTCAGGACCGGAGTTGAGTCCGGTACTTATGTACGGACTCAAGCCCAGTGCAGCAACCAGTTTTCAGCCTCAGTGCTTGTGTTCAGTGGTGACTTTGCTGCAACAACGTGTTCGGGAATTCAAGACTGAGACTTTGCGACTTTGCCACTTTGTGTCTGCGTCCGTCAAGTCGTGTCCAGTCTGGGTCGAGTTTAGTGAGCATGTGTGTGTGCTCTCACTCTCCCTCTCTCTCCCAGCCTCGCTGCTCTGCCTCTGCCTCGTCACATAGTCTTTGTGTCTGTCCTTCATCTTCATACTTCCATCCATTGCACTTCCGATCTTCATATCGTCTGTTCTCTCAACGATGCTCATTCGTATGTATTTGCTAGTAGCACAAAAGAGGAGGGTGGAAGGGAGGTGGAGGGAAAGGGATGGAAGGCGGAGTTCTATAGGAGTGTGGGGTAGGGGGAGGTGGAGGGTAAAGGGCAGGAAAGAAACATATGAAGGGCAGGATAGAGTATGACACGCAAAGGGCAGGGGAGAGGTGTATGACAAACTTCGCAGAATTCTGAACACTCACCGCTGAAACAGACTACTCTAGAATGGCAGAGGAGCAGTTATTGCCTATGGTCAGTGGTCAACACAATGGACCGGACAGGACCGGTTCGGGTGTGGACTATGGACGCACCGCATCCAATTTTTGCAGTCACAATTGCTGTATCGAATTAAGCTGCACAGACATATGTCACAGGCTACGTGGCTCCTACATGCTAGGAACACAGAGGCACGTCGACCGCAATTATAGAGCCATTGTCGTTCCAGCCCCTGTCTATAAATTGGACATGACATGTAAGGCTGTCGTACACGAGTACAGTACTGACTGTTGTGGTACGTATGGAAGCAAAAACTCGCATGGACTATCCCTTCATAATCGTCACGGCACAAGGCATGCGACCCACATGCTAGTTGAATCTCCGACAGGTCATCACAGAGAGGCATGGAGCATCTTTCTTGGGCTTCCTCAGTATTCATTCCTTCTCTATGGGCAGATGACGACAGGGAGGATCGGTCCAAAGCAAGGGCGTTCAGCTGCTGCAGGATTTGGTCCGCAACAGCTCGCCCTGGTGGTGATAAACTATCCGCACATCGCTCCGCAGGTGCTTCATATAGAAATCTATTTTCCTCCTCGGGCTGCTGTGGAAGAGGGAGATCCGTCTGCGGTTGTCGTAGGTGTATGTCAAACACAGCATGTGGGACAGGCTAGGAGAGGATGTGGAGGACCATGGCACCGGGGGTAGTCCACGCGGTAAAGACACATACTTTCTTTGACAGCTTCCTGGAAATATTGACGGCACATGGCATGTTGCTGACATGTCATTAGTATGGAAGGCTGACGTGCACAGTTATTTAGGCACTGCAGATCAAAACCACAATGGCATGCTGGGCAAGTAACGAGGGGGTGGGGGGGATGAGCACAAGACAAGGGATCACAGTTTTCATGAGAGAGGCTGGCAGCGACCATCCCTTAATAGTGTTCGGAGCAGAGGCTATGCCAACTGAACTGTACCTGTGTGACCACACAATGGGAGGGCACAGCCACCATCCCCTGGAGAGGTCCCTTCACTGTTTGTAGTAGAATCAGTCGGATTGCTCTCCGGGGGGTGCAGTGCTTGCAAGCACTCATCGGCATACTGTTCCTGATGGTGTGTGTGTGTGTGTGTGTGTGTGTGTGTGTGTGTGTGTGTGTGTGTGTGTGTGTGTAGGGGGTGTGTGTAAAACACGACCATCCCATTCAGAATGGGACACTAGACATTGTCGTTACGTCCAATGTTAGGCAAGGGGGGAATGGGAGTAGTTAGGTACAGGATACATCAAGGCATAGATTAGATAAGGAGCGGGTTAGCAAAGTTAAAGTTAGTAGGTTAGCAGTGGTTAGGACTGGGTATGAGAACGCAGCTGTAGGGGGGGTGCACGCCCTTAAGCGCGCTTTTCGCCGCCTAGCACCCATAGCAGCTCATCAGAGGGGTTAGCTTAGTAAAGGCTCCTGTTAGGAATAGGGGAGGGGGGTAGGGTTTAAGGGCATGACGTCAGGGGTTGTCTGTTGATACAACATAGTCATAGGCAAAGAGGAAGGCGTTTAGCAATTCATACCTGGGCGGTCATGGTGGGTGTCGCTGGGAGATCAGTCGCCGCCATAGCTCAATTGGTGGCCGCTCAGCGTGATGTCAGGTGGCTTACCGTGTAAGCACAGTGCCCAGGGCACTATGGTGCGCCAGACCGAAACCAGGTAGGCGGGTCAGTTCGCGAGCTGGCGTGCTCATGCGAAGAGGAACCAGAGAGCAGTTGTGGTAGGAGACGAGGGAGGCTGGAACGTGCAAGTTGGCGCAGGTGTGTTGGAGTAAGAGCAAGCAAGCAGTTGTAGTGGCGATCGTTCTCGAGGGCATCTGTCGAGTCCCAGAGGAGGGAAGGGAGGGGCATGCCATGAATGTATATCGTAGCTCGTCGTACTGCAAGCTAGGATTAGCGGAATAACGTGGGTGGGGATAGGGTGGGGGTGGGGTAGTGGCTGC